GACGCGTTGGGTTCTTAAGTTGAATCTGTATGTAAGAACTGGCGTCCAGATTCAGCCTGTTGAAACTGATCATAGGCTGATTCCAGGAAGCCCGGGGCAGAACAACTCTGCCTTGGGCTTCCTATAGTCAGCCGCTGGTCAGTTTCAGCAGCGGCTGAATCTGGACGCCAGTTCCAATTTACGTAGAAATTCAACTTAAGAACAAACCTACAGTCCCTAACTTGTACGTAACCTGGGGACTGCCTGTATAACAAAGGAAGACCTGAGCTGCTCTTTCAGGCTGACGGCTATTGGTGAACCTCATCAGGCCCACTGGGAGTCTGGGATAGGATAAAGTTTGGGGCAAGGAACTTGAAAGCACACTCCTCTGTTAGTTAACACGTGGCTTACAGTGGCTTTGAGCACAGGCCTCTCCCCCATGTAAATCTATTCTATTCTGCTTCTTTCCTGCCTCACTACTTAGATGGCCTTCCAGCTAAAAGTAAGGTAGTGGTTGGGTGTCTCAGAGATTTTACTGGAGACTAGAGGTACACAAGCAGGCTACAACAGAAATGTCCGCTTCTCCAGATGAAAATAAAACTCAAAATGAAGAAATCACTTAAAAAAAAAGAGAGAATTAATTTAAGTCTTATAGCTGAAACAGTAAAAGCAGTAAGATAAGTAGAAAATGTAATTCTATTCCTTTATAAAGTTAACAGAAGTCATCGTACAAAATTCACCTGCATCAAGAAAAAAGTCTGAGGTATAGCTGTATTAGTCTGCATCTGCAAAAACAATAAGGAATCCTGTGACACTTTGAAGACTAACAGATTTGAGCATAAGCTTTTGTGGGTAAAACCCATTTTGTCCAATGCATGGAGTGGAAATCAGTCTGGTTTTGGGACAGTGACAATGCTTAAGAGTTAAAATTAAGATTAGAGATTTTAACTTTAAGGTTTTCACTTATGACTAGGTAGAAAGACTTACATTAGCAGAGTGTGTATTAACAAGTATTACACAGCCGATCTTTTGATGGTTCCAGTAGTCCACCTCAGAAGTACCCCAAAAGAAAAATGCTGTATTCCTTGCTATAGTACCTTTGGCTTTCCAAGGCCAAATGTTTCATATTGACCAATGATAATGAGAATAATCTAAACAATTGTAAGTACTAAAATGCTCTTTCTAAAGCATAGCAGTAAGAAAAGAGTTTTCTTTTTAGAGGCATGAAAAAGGCAAGGCACATAAAGGGGCATTTTAAAAATTCACTAACATACTTTAAGAGATTAAGCAGGCTTCATCGGTCTGAAAACTGCATGTCTATATAGTACTTTCAGGTGAAAAGTATGGCAGATCCAGAGAAACTGCAAGATGCTATCAGACCTATCAAATCCGGGAACACCCTATGCCTCCACCATCTTAGATTCACTCTCATAAAACAAATCCTTACAACCTTACTTTACTTTGCTTTCAACTTATCCTGGATATTTAAATATACCATACAACACCTGTGTGAATGGAGAACAAAACTCTAAAATATTAAACAGCAGCAAGAACTTTTTCCTAAGGAACAAATCTAAAATGGTAGCTGTATATATGAAACTTGACAGATACTCAGGACCTACAATTGTGCTGAAGTGCTGGCACTAAACACTGAATACTTACAACAAGCTTGTTCGCTAAAAGTATTCTCCCTACTCTAAAATATGGGTTTTTTTAATATATTGTACATAGTTTAGGTTAGTTACTGGGATTCTGAGAGCAGCATTCTCCAATGTTTATCACATATATACACAATGTGTATGTCACAACTTGTTTTAAATAATATACCTGGAGAAAGGGTTTGTGTGTCTCTGAAATCACCATATATAATTTCATTGTTGCACATTTCAATATGCCTTTTTTCAAATGAAATTTTTGTCAATCTATTGCTATCTTAAAGGAGGCATAAAGAACATTTATGAATTACCTTTTCCAATATGTCGTCTAGTGTTCTCAATAGTTGAGTTGCGATTGACATTGGACAACAAACCTAAGCAGAATCTGTTTTTATTATTAGAAGGATCTGTAAAGCCATCCACTAGGACACTGGTGGAAGATGCATGAAAAGCCTCTCCAACGCGATTGTTTAATTCATAGTACACTATTGAACACCAGTGCTTGGGCTCTTCATAAGCAACAGGCTGAACATCTATAATACAATTAAATGAAATATGTCAATATGTATTTCAATTTAGAAGTATTTAACAATCCTTTTCACATAGCAGTAAAAAATTGATTCCACAATCTCACATTTGTATCTTATGTTCAGACTTGAAAGGCAGTATGATGCAGTTAAAAATGACACTACCAATTTTTAAAAATGGTAATACCACCTTCAGGTCCTAAAGTTTTATTTCACAATCGATCACTTTGTTTTGGTGTCTCTCTCCCTCTTCCTGAGACTTTGGTGAAACTCATGCAAACAAAGTGGGTCAAGAAAAACATTTTCTTTATAAAACCTATTTATAAATTGACTTTTTGAGGCCTGATTTCTAGGGATGTGGAGCAAACAACTCCATGTCCAATCAAAGGTAAGAGACAGGATCTGAACAACTGGGGGCGGAGGGTGGGGAAAAAAAAAATAAATCACACCCCTACTTATTGAAAGTGCAATTCAAAAAGAGGATTTTTGTTTTTTTGTTGGCTGATTTAAAAGTAGCCAACCAATAAAATGGTGTAAAAGTGAACTGGCTAGGGTTTGTTTCACTTGCATTCTCTTTCTGGTGGCAGGTGCTTCTGGTACAAACCTGAACTTCTTCCATTGTCATATGCAAGTTATTTCTACTTAACCATGCTTAAATTTACTCCAATTAAGTCACCTCTGAATCTGGCTGTCATCATTAAAGAAACCAACCAAAAATGTATTGTCCACCATATTATCTTACCTCTGCTGGATATATTTGGCATAATTTGAGGAATCATGGTGTTGCTTGTGTCCATAGACTGTGAACTATCCTGTCCCATTTGATCCTCAGGGGGCATATATGCAGGAGGTGGAGTATCAGCTTAAAACAAGGAAAAATGCAGAAGTTAAAACTATAAATGAAGACTGACAAATAGATACCATCAAGCGGAGCATAAGGCCTTGCTTTGCTCACCCAGCTAGAACCACTAATTTTGTCAGGTGGTTGGTCATTAGATGAGTATATACTCACACATGCTTAGCTAGATGTAGGAATTTATTACAAGTCCCAATTCTTTAGCACAACTCATTACTGCAGTTTGAGGTCTTAAAAAATTACCATTCCATATTACTGGATGATGTTTAATATAAGGTATGCCTCCATGATCTCAGAATGTGTTAACATCAAATTCCTTCTAATTTTAAAAAGGACTGTTACATATTAACTTATTTCTTCTCTGCATTGCACCTCATTTAAAAACACTAAATTCATTCAATAACCCCATGTTTCCATATTCTAGTGATACCTTAGAAGGTTTTTGGCAAAATAAAAACTGCAATAATTCACAAGAGTTCTTTCCAACCCGTATCAAAAGACTAAGGAAAGTAGTAACGATTAACAGAGTACAAGAATCAGTTGATATTAAGCCAATATCAATTGATACCAGAAACAGAGGCAAAAAGGGAATCACAAAAGCTTTTGGTATTATAAGCATATTTTTAATTTCTCAGCAGAGTTCAGGTACAGACTGTTCTCACCTGGTAGCTGAAATGGACTAGATGGTCCAGAACTAGCAGGGGAACTTGGGTAAGTGCTGCTCACTGGAGACGGCGGGTAGGGACTGTTTGGTGAAATGGAAAATGGAGTGCTGTTGGGTTGCTGGAAAGAATCTGGAAATGTAGCATTGTGTGGCATGTGCGGTTCATTGTGGCTTAGGTTCCTGAACTGAACTAGAAGGCTGTGCTGTGGATTGAATTCACTATGTCTAGGTACTAACACTGGAGGTAGAACTAAAAAACAAAACAAAACAAAAAGTTATGCACAAAATTTAAAAAATTGTTAAATACAGCTATAATGAACAGCATAAAATAATGCACAATCTATTCACTAACCATAATTAACGAGTTCCCATTATCAGCTGAGAAGGAACAAGAAAAAGGTTACAAAAGATTTAACTATTACTTACAATTTGTGGGTTTCTAAAAATCTCTTTTAAAAAACATGGACTCTATTTCTTGCCAGACTTAATTCATACTTCACAGCATGAAAACTAGTCATATTTTGCTAGTTTAGCGAGCTGCTTTAAAAAAAAAAAAAAAAAAAAAAACAGAACATGCATACTAAGTGAAAAGTACTAATAATTTTAAAGGATTAGTGTACTCCTAACACTCCATATTCTCAGAAAAAAGAGATAAGTCTTCAGTTGACTACTTTTGTATTTAGAGCCAAATGCTTGTCACAATAAAGTCAATGAGTAAGCCAGGATTTAGAAAAATCTTCTATAGATCATATGCTACACAGTAAACTGTAGTTGTAAAGTTTTTACCAGGCAACTCCACCCATTCTAACCTGAATGTTATATTCCACTCCACCCGTGCCCCAGGGAATTTAAATTGGCAAAGCAACATTGACTGTGATTAATTTTTTCAGGCTATAGACATCAATGCTCAAACTTACCAGGGCTCTCTACCCTTTTATAGTGGTATGGATTGATACAAACTTCCTTCTGTTTAGATCCAAAAGGAAATTCACAAATATCCAATGGCTTCAACTCATGATGACTCTGTAGATCAGGCCAACGCCACACACGACAGTATATAACATGGGGAAGACCTTTTCTGTGAGAAACTTGAAGTCTCCCATCTAAAGAACGAGGAATAGTAACGCATTTGCTGGGTTGTCCAGGACTGCTCAAAGCTTTTTCCAATTCTTCCATAGCACCCTTTTTCTTTTTCAACTTTTTTACCAAGGCATCAACTGCCTTTTCCGCCCATTTTTCCTCTTCATCTCCTTGTTTCCAGCCCAATAAGCGCTTTACAGCTGGGCTAGTAAAAGAGAACAAACTGGCCATTGACGTCATTTGACACAAGTCTTCAAAAAACCTTTCTATAAATAAACATCAGTGTCTACAAGAAGCAACTGACCAAACTATTTTTTTCTTGGAAGACAACACCTGATCGAATAGTTGTCACTCAAATCAAAAGGGATGATTCTTCTTATTTAATCCTGTTAAAAAAACCAAAAAACATATCAAGTAGTTAGCAACTAGGGGGGTTGTTTGTTTTTTTGATGACAGAAGAAGGCAGAACTAAAAACAATTCATATATTAAAATAGGAAGAATGATTATTTCCACCCTTCATGTTACATTCAATTTTTGGCCTTTAAAACACACCCCACCCACCCATCCACCCACACTGGCTTCCTTCTAATCAAGGGGAAAATTTTAAGTCTCCTTTCAGACTATCAGTGCTACTTTTAGGGAGAAAGAGTGATTTCCAAGAGATGCAAGGTACTCCTCTTCATTACGTAACTTTAGATTTTCTGACATTAGCTTTTTATAGAATGCAGTTGAGTAGCTATAGCCTAGGCAAAAACATGTACAAAACTTACTTGCCTAATGGCTAAAAAGTTTGCTAGACTACAGACAGAAGAACTAATCCTCCTCACCAAGAGGTAGATGAAGATAACTTGGGAGACATGAGTAACCAGCAAGTTCCAAGGACAATACTCTAGAGCAACAGTTCTCAACCAGGTAGGTGTATGCAGAGATTTTTCATAGGGTACCTGAACTCAGCTAGTTGCCTAGTTTTACAACAGACTACATTAAAAGCATTAGCTAAATCAGTACAAACTAAAATTTCATATAAATGAGGTGTTCATACATCTCTATATCCTAAAATGTAAATGCACTATTTGTTGCAATTGATTTATTTTATAGCTATGTGGTCAAAATGAAAACACGTGCAATTTTTCAGTAGCAGTGTGCTGTGACATTGGTCTGATTTTGTAAGCAAGTAGTTTTTTAGTGAAGCAAAACTTGAGGGTATTCAAGAGAAAAATCAGACTCCTGAAAAGAGTACAGTAGTTTGGAAAGTTTGGGAGACACTGTGCTGGAGAAACCTGCCATCACTTTACTGGCATGAAGGATTCTGAAACTTCTACTTGGGTGCTATTCTTGGACTCTTCTTCAGTATTCCATTTTTTTTTTTTTTTTTTTTGTAGCGGACTAATAATGAGGAAATTGGAGGAACAACTGAGAATAGCTTAAAGAATTTAGACATGGTCAATCACCTTGGCCACTTCAGTTATACACCTCCCCAGTCTTCTGGCTGCTGGGACAAGGATTATAAGGAGAGGATTTTCAGGCTTTTGTAATATGTTTTCTTCCTAAAAAGGAGAAGACACACTCTGCAGAATAAGTGCCAGAAATAAGACCTTTACCAAACTGTTTGAGGGAGTTAATTTAAACAATACTGTTCTGTACACAATGTCATAAAGAAACAGTGTTCACACACTGCCCTGTTTTACAATACCTATCAGATTCTGGTGTAAACCTGTGTTTTGTTTTCTTTTAAAGAGAGTAAAGATGACACGAGGAAATGATGTGCTGTGGCAAGTGGCTGATAAGAACTCATGAAGTCCCTTGTGAATATTATACAAGCAAGTACAGACAATGAGCAGCTGGCAGCAAGAGGAGAACTAAGAGAAAGGATGTTAACAACAAAAGATGCTTCCTTTCTTGCTACAGAGACTGCCAAACAATACTGTCTCAGCATTTGATAAACTCTGGTGAATGAGAGCACCTAACATTTTGAAACACTGAATCTACATATAGGAGAGGGAAAAAAATCCGTATAAGCATATCAGTACAATACAAGATAAATTACTTTCAAGATGTCACTACTCACATACCACTGTCTTTAATAATCAGAATTTTAGTTCCTTTTATGGGTTGCAAAAAGTAGAGGTAAATTAGAATATTTAAATAAGTTGGTGGCATTTAACTTCTCCACACTATCAGACAGCTTTAAAAATATACAGGGATAACAAAGGGAATCTTCCTAATATTTAAACACCAGAAGACTTATCCAGCGTTGCTCTGCTCCTTAAACTCAAATTTTGTTTTTCTTCATTTAACTCATTTTTCTGGTGAGGGAGTGGAAGGATTGGGGGAGGGGGGGAGGCTTCAGTATGCAGGCTGCCCTGGAGAGAGAGAAAAATGCCAGCCCCCTCTCACTGCAGCAGGGGGGAGGGGGGGAGAAAGGTGAGAAACACCTGTCAATGGCTGCTGCAGCAGACAGACACTCTCTGAAATATAAAGTAGATAGCTGTCCCTTTCTCCACCCCTGCTCCCTGCTGGCCCAGTGGAGTTATAGCTGTCCCAATCCCCATCTCTGGCCCCTTGCTGCCGCCCTGTGGTCATTATGCATTTAACTCTCTCCTACCAGACCCCTCCCTTTCCATTTTATGAGAAATAATCCAATTCCATGCACATTGCATTATCATGGCATAACCAAACCCTGACCTTGCTTTTAAGTTCGGTAAGAGGTCCTAGCTCTTACCATTTAGGAGTTCTTGAACAAAAATTCAGACATTTCTAAAATATATAGTATGAATTAACCATCAGAAAAGGCAATTTCTTCTGCCTTTGATATTCACATTTACACATCAAAAGCTATGAATGGGACACATCCAGCCTGACTTACTTAGCATTATTAAAACTGGACCTTTTGCTGTTATATATACTATGGATTCTGTAATTTCCACTCAAACTCATCTGATGGGTTTTACCCATGAAAGCTCATGATAACAATACATTTGTTAGTGTCTAGGGTGTCACAAGACTGCTTATTGTTTTTAAAGTTACAGACTAACACAGCAACCCTCCTGAGACTTGTTTAAATACCAGTTTACTACACTGGTTATTACAATTTCACTGCATTAGTAGCAATTAAAGCATTAACCTAAGCCTACATCAAATAACTATTTTGCATATCAGCCAAGTAATTTGGAACAAAACCATCGATACTATATCCACATGTGGATGATCTTCTACTCTCTTCCCACCCACAAAAATAAAGGAACACATTTTGCCATGATTAAAATAAAATCCGAATGCTACTTTGCACACCCCCTCTATAGCAGTGGTCACCAACCTTTTGGGGCTGCCCAGGCGCCCGGGGCCAGCACTGGCATGTGCTGCAACCCCGGGCAGGGGGCCGCCCAGGCGCCCAAACCGGCACCAGCATGTGCCGCAAACCTAGGGGCAAGGGCCGCCCAGGCGCCCGGGGGCGGGGCCAGCCCAGATTGTTCCGCAGGCGCACATAAAAGGCCCAGCAGGCACCATGCGCCCGCGGGCACCGTACAGGAAGAAAAACTATCCTAGATAGCCTACCTCTCAATTCAGCATTTATTTGTATGAAAGTTCCAGGTCTGTGGTCACCAACCAGTAGATCGTGAGCTACCGGTAGATCTCAGGGGCTCTAAGGGTACGTCTAGACTACATGCCTCTGTCGCCAGAGGCATGTAGATTAGGCTACCTGACATAGTAAAATGAAGCGGCGATTTAAATAATCGCCGCTTCATTTAAATTTACATGGCTGCCGCGCTGAGCCGACAAACAGCTGATCAGCTGTAAATTTAAATGAAGCGGCGATTATTTAAATCGCCGCTTTATTTTCCTATGTCTGGTAGCCTAATCTATATGCCTCTGGCGACAGAGGCATGTAGTCTAGACGTACCCTTAGAAGCAGTCTCACCACTCCATCTTCTTCCTCCCTGTGCCTCGGTTTAGCACAATCTTTGGATTCCCAAAAATTAGGGAACTCTAGTACCAAGAGTAGTGCTGCAAAGAAATTTCAAGGGGTCAGAAAACTACTGTCTGATGATTGGACCGTGCCATTGTTTGATCATGGAGGAGAATGCACACTTTGTGATGAAGAGCATACAGGATGCTGCCCCAGAAAAAAAATCACAGCACAAGTGTGATATGAATCATTGTGATGGCTGCTGTCAACTGCAAATATCATCTGCATATTATTCACCTACCACATGCATGCTACTCCCACAATGATCTTATTAAGGAGCTGTGCTACACATCAATATAATATTATGCCTGGAGCAGCGTGTAGGTACTAAAATATGCTCTGGCACCCTGTCTCCTGCTGCAGGAAGCTGTCTTAGCACCCTGCCCCCTCTCCCCTGCCCCCACTGGCACCCTGTTCCCTGCTCCAGAACCCACTAGCACTTCTCCCCAGTACTGTGTCCCCTGCTCCCAAATGACTTTTCTATGGGTCAGTGACACCTGAGTCAAGGCAGGTTCCCTGCCATTCTCATAAATATAGACAATGCAGAAACTTTTTGTGTTTAACATAGTATTCTATCTAAAAATGAAGCCTGGCCAACAAACCCCCAATTGGGGCCAAGCCCCCATCTGGCCACAACCACTCCTGCACTCCAGACCCTAGATCTGAGCCTATCAAATACTGGAACCTCATGCCCTCAGCCCCTCACATACCCCAACCCAAATTCCTGCACCCTCACATCCACAAGCCTGTGGCTTCCTTAGTATCCCAACACTGCCTAGCCTGGAGCCCCCTCCCTGAGCCAGTGTCCCCTTCTCCACCTCCTCCTGCATCCAGATTTCCTCCCAGAGCTTGCACCTCTCACCCCTTCCCACACCCAAATCCCTCATTCCCACCCCAGAGCCTACACATCCTGTCTCAACACAGGAAGGGTCCAGCTAGACTGCAGGAGTTTTTCAGGATTCTGGAGATATCCCAGAAAAACTCTTCTGCATCCAGGGTTGCATTTGTTCTTCCGCTTTTTTAGTGGAAGAGCAAACAGGCTCTTTTGGTCACCCCTATATTCCTCTTTCCACAAGGAATAAGGTGGCTTCCAAAAGAAGGGTTTTTTTTCCCCTAACATTTGGTCCAGTGTAGACAGGCCAAATGTTGGAAAAACTTCTTCCTACAGAAGAATAAAAAAAATAAAATAAGCAGCAGTATAAGGATAGTAAATGATGGAGAGGAGGAGAATAGAGAGGGTGGGGCTTCAAGGAAGGGGCAGGGCGGTAGATCTTGGCTTGGTCTGCCATTTAAAAAGTGATCTTGGGTGTAAAAAGGTTGGAGACCACTGTTCTAGGTGGTTTGCCTAAGTAATAAGGAATTCAAAACCAAAAACAATGTCAGTAGAAACCCGAGCATGTAAAATGTATCATACTAAC